TTGAAATTAAGTAGAATGGCTATTGCCTTACTATCACTCTTTTTCCAAATTGTACTATATACTCTAGTTTCCTTACCATTCTATACAAATTTTATAATCTAAACCATACAATGTACAAAATATCTTGCTTGAATTTTGATAACAATTGTGTTAAATCTGTATATTACTTAAGGGAAACTGATATCATTTCCCCACTGTGGTGCTAGGGGTTGAGCCCAGGGCCTTTGCACAGAGCTACATCCCCAGTCCTTTCTAATTTTTTTATTTTGGACAGAGTCTCACTAAGTCACTAAGTTGCCTGAACTGGGCTTGAACTTGAAGTCCTCCTGCTTCAGTCCCCAAGAGTGCTAGGATTATAAGCATGGATAGCCCCATCACACTGGCTTTGATGTCTTCACTATGATGTCATGAGTGGTCTCTACCACAAGGCCATGTCTCTCCTTTTATTTCAATCTTCTTTTATTTCTTTTATTAGGATTTTGTACTTCTCAGGAAACAAACCCTGTATATGCTTTGTTCTATTTGTATCTAAGCATTTCTTTGCTGGGCATTTTAAATTTTGGTTTTGGATATTCACTATTAATATATAAAAATACAGTTAGGTTTTGTGTGTTAATCTTATATCCTGCATGTATCTGAATACTTATTAATTTTGAGAGGGTTTTTTTTTTAGGATTCCTGGGTAGATTGTCTTAGCATCTGCAAATAGAGATAGTTTTGTTTTGTCTCTTCCAGTACATATGTCTTTTATTGAATTTCTTGATTCAGTGTGCTAATTAGAGTTTTCAGTACTATGATGAATCATCATACTGAGTGAATATCCTTGTTGTTTTCCTCATCTTAGGGGGAAGGCATTTAATCTTTTACCATTTAGTGCGTTAGTCATGTAGGGTTGTTTGGGGGTTTTTTGTATGTATTGTCTATGAAGTTTGGCAGGGAAGACTTTCACTTCTATTCCTCAATGCTAGGAGTTTTTCTAATGAATGAGTATTTGATTTTTGTTAAGTGCTTTTTAATAAACTGATACAATCACGTAGCTTTTCTTCTTCAGCAATGATGATATGCATTGAGTAGTACTCAAATATTGAATTAGTTGTATATCCTTGGATGAACTTATTTGATCATAATTTAGTTCCTTTTATGTTTTGATGCATTCTTTTTGCTAATATTTTATAAAGAATTTTTCCATTTATATTTGTAAGAGATATTGGTCTGTGGTTATGGGGGGTGTGTGTGTGTGTGTGTGTATTTCTTTTGATACTGTCTTTGGAGTACTACTATTTCATAAAATTAGTTGGAAAATGTCCTGTCTTATTTTCTCAAAGAATTTGTGTAAAATTGGTATTAATTCTTTAAACTTTTGCCTTATTGAACTTCCTAAGTAGTTACAGGGCTGTTCAAATTATATTTCATTTTAAGTTTTGGGAATGTAAACACTTAGTGCTATAAATTTCCCTTCAATACTATTTTAGCTGCATCCCACATATTTTGATATTTTATTTTCAGTTCAATTTATTTTGTAGCTAATTTTTTTTGAGACTGACCTGTGGATCACTTAGTAGTATAGTTGACTTTCAAATAGTTGGATATTTTCCTGGGTTGTATTATTGTTGTTACTGATTTCTAGTTTGATTCCATTATGTTTGGAAAACTGTGATTTCAGTTGTTTTGATTCATTTGAAGTTTGTATTGTGGAGCAGGATATGTTCAATCTGGGTATATATTTAGTGCCAAGTGAGTACTAAAAAGGAATACGTGTCATTCTAGGTGGAGGTTGAAGGTGTTGTTGAATTCTTATGCATCTTTGATGATTTTTTTGTCTAGTTCACTTAATTTTGAAGAGTGGAGTTTTGAAGTCATCAACGATAATAATAAATTTGTTTATTTTGCTTTTCAGTCATATCAGGTTTCGCTTCACATTTTTAAAGCTCTTTTTTGGTGCATAGAAGTGTTTTTGGTAGCTTCCTATTATGTATCTAGAAAAATTTTTCTTGCTGATACCTGCTTTTTCTTATAATAATATTGCATATATGCTTTCATTTAATTGACATTTCCATAGTATACCTCTTCAATTCTTTTACTTTCAATCTACTTATTATATTTGAAGTGAGTTACTTATACAAACCCTAAAGTTGGATCACTTTTCAAAATCTGGTAACCTCTGTCTTTTAATTGAGGCATGTAGACCATTTACATTTAGTGCAATTATGATTGTTTAAGCCTACCACTTGTCTTTCTGTTTTCTATTGAGTCTTTTTATTTCTGTTTTCTCTGCCTTCTAGTGGGCTACTTGAACCTTTTTTTTCATTTTGATTTAACTGTAGTAACTATGAGCATATTATCTGCATACATTTCTTGGTAGTTATTCAGCCTTCTCAGATACCATTCTAGTAGAAAGAGAGGAGGAGGATTGAAGCCTATGAAGGGTAGAGTTCTATACTCTTCATCGCTCCTTTGCAGGTGTGATTGGAATAGAACCAAAAATTGATATTGTGCTGTTTAGCTGGAGTTATTGTCTAAAACTTTTCTGTCCTGATGGTTTGCTCCTTTTCTGGCCCTGTAACTAAAGAGAGTAAGTTTTACTTGAAGCTCTTTATGTTGATGCTTGTTGGTGTTTCAGGGTTGCTAGCTTCTTCAATATCTGGAATATATTAGGCCAAAAGAACACTCAAGGAGCTCACCACCATGTTGTTTCTCAGGTTCTAGTTTCACTAACCATTCAACTTTCTTCTCTCCACGTTTCTGTCTTCATATGCTTGTTATGTGTTTGTATTTGTGTTTGTTTATATTGGGGATTTTTGAGTAGAAAAAATAGAGAAAGCAGGATTTTCTTTGTTTTTATAGGAATTATAGTTATAAAAATTAAATTAAGTACCATGAAACCCATAGGCCAGGCCTAATAGCTAATCGTGATTGTCAACTTGATTGGTTTGAGGGCCACCCAGGGGATTAGTAAAGCACACCTCTGGGTATGTCTGAGAGAACACAGAAGCGTGATCTTAGGGACTGTATCTGGTCCTGGGCCCCTTTCTCTCTGGCACTACTTTCCCTGATCTCTGCTTCCTGGATGCTGTGTCTTGGGCAGCTTTCCTGCCAGGCCTTTCTGCCATAATGTTTCTGCCTTGGAGCCTACGAAACTTTTGAAATGTGAGCCAAAGTAAACTTTTCCTCCTTTTATTTGTTTGTGCCAGGTATTTTGTCCCATCAACTGAAAAGCTGATTTTTGGACCTGGCACATCTTACTGGCTCAGAAAATGTTAACTGTTATTATCATTTATGTCTTTGGTATCAAGAATGATCTGAAATTATTGCAGTATCTTTTGAGCAGTACATTTATGAAGAGATCTTATGAATGCCTCTAGGCTTTCATTTCATGGTAAAATTGAGAGTCAGAATGGTATTTGAAACAACACAGGTTTTGAGTTAAACCAAAATGTTTCCACAAGTTTTATGTTCTTGGGCCTATTATTTAACCTGAGGCTCAACTTGCTGTTTTGAAAAAGGCACTATTAGTATCAGTGTTAAATGATCACTCTGAGAATTGAATGGAATAATTATAAAAATGATTTATTATAAGTTCTGGTATCTTCACACTTATTACATCATTAAACAACTATCAAAGTTCAGAATTTCTAACCATATATTTGCCTATCAATGTTGACCTGTATCTTGTAATATTCTCCAGTTAATTGGTTTAAAGGGCCAAAAATATGCTTTGTGATATGGAAATAGGTGTTGAATTTAGATTGTTCATTGTCAAAATTTCTTTCCATACCTGTCCTTTGTTCTCAGTATGTTAACATGCTTAAGTTTTTCCCACCTAAAACAAAATATAACAAAATTTCTGGCCCCTACCTTACTGAACTTCTAAAAGGAATAATTTATATAAATTATCCCCATTATTTTCTCTTAAACCCACTGTAATACTTTCTCCCTACCCCTCCCCTAAATTATAACTGATTCTTTTAGTTGTTACCTAACCTAACCTTTCAATGAAATGTGAATGAAGAAACCATGTTGAATATCTAACTCAGCCCTTAATGAGACTGTAGTAGCAGTCTACCTGTGTTTGTCTATGTGAAAGCCTCTAACAAAATGTATGAGCTAGACACATGAACCATGAAAGATAATAAATTGTCTTAAGCCACTAAGCTTTGGGATGATTTCAAAGCAATGGATAACCCGAACAGAAATGTACTGGAGACTCAGCTTTCTTATTTCTCTGGCTCCCCTAATTCCTAGTCTTTTTTTTCCCTTTATTTCCTACTTCCTTGCGTTTGGTGGTGCAACTTTTATGCTTAGCTATAAATGTACAGTTTGGGAGATTTATAATTATCTGGCCTCTAATTATTTTGGATTCCTAATCTCATGTTTAAAAGCTTGTTTAAAAATAAAGTTTTATATTGTTTTCCGTCCTGCTTTCATATAGGCCAACTTGACCCAATGTTTGCATTTATTTCCTGAGTAAATATCACAACCAGTTAACACAGTCAAATACTAATCTTTATTAATCAAGTCTCTTATAAAAATCTAAGTTTGAATACATGTAATCTGTGCTTCAACAACAATAGTTTACTTTGCTACTAGAAGAAAATAGATAATGTGTTAAAAAAGATGTGCTAGGTATATACAACAACTACTCTAGAAATAATGTTTATTGTAATGCTTATTGAAACAATAAGACTAATGAATCATGCAGTAAGAAGCTAGATAAACTATGTATTTGTATAAGTTGTAAATTTTGCTATTTAACACAACTGTATAGCTGCAAATGTTAGGTCTTAATAATATACTGTTTAATTCCAGTGAGCTCAACATTTCTGAAAACTCAAAGGGAATGTATTATTAAATGCCATGAAAATAAATGTTTAGAGCAATGTTTATCATAGTCTGACAGTTGTCAGTGAGCAGTTTTGTATGATTGACAGAAAGAGGGAAGATTTTGTTGTCTGAAATTTTCATTAAGTCTCTACTACATCAGTGATTTTTTTTCATTCTAGTTCTAAGAACAAATGGAATTTGCTATGGATAATTCATATGATTTCAACAAACAAAGCTCTTGTAATGGAATTCCATCTGACAAGAAAAACAACTCCCTTGTGTCAGAAGATCATGGACAGAAACTCTTAAGTGTACTGCAGAATTTTAGAGAACAAAATGTCTTTTATGATTTCAAAATAATCATAAAAGATGAAATAATTCCATGTCATCGTTGTGTGTTAGCAGCATGTAGTGACTTTTTCAGGTACTTTACCTTGTCTATGCCTCAGATTTTATAATATAAATAACTGACTTATATTTTATATAACATTCAATTTTTCCTCCACAGGAGCATGAGTTAGTAATTTTTAATTCTTAAAGAAAAACTAATTGGAACTGGATTAACTAATGATTTTGAGTTGGAGAACTGAAGACTACCTTTTTGAAAGTGTGGTTCTTCCCAAGCCAGCATTTCCCAAAGTTATATGGAACATTAGCCCCATGAAATGTTCTGAGAGAAAGAAAACTTCTTTTCATCTGGTTACAGCTTTAGGAGATCCCTAAACTATATATTACAAAACAGTGAAATGACAAGTGAAACAATTGAAAGCAGAATTCAGAGAGAGTGAGTCTAAGAGAAAAATAAATTTAGATTCCGTACTGTATCTATGTATTATCCAAGAGGAGGGACTCTTAGGTCAGAGGACTTAAAAATTTCTTCTCTGTCTGGCAGATATTCTTACAGTTAAGAACAATACTTCTTAGTTAAAAAAGATTTCTCTAAAATACCCAAATTGTTCTGATTGTAAGCAACCTTCTAACTATAATTTGTTTTCCCATGTAATCATCCCACAAAAAATGTCCTAGTGATGACACTGTAAAAATTCTCTATGATGACAGCAGGTTTCTGATTCTACATCATGAGGGTCGACACATTGCCTAGCACTCTGGTAATTTTTCAAGATAATGCCATCTTGTGGGCCCTCTTGGTCAACAGACAGCCAAGTCTGTCTTGATGATACCCTGGTCTTCAGTCCTCCCAGTCATAGTGCAATAAACTTCAATTCTAATTTTGCATTATGTTCAATTTTGGGGGCAAAGTATGTAGGGTTTAAATCTCTGTAAACAAACTTGGTAGAAACAGTAAGACAATATTATAAATAAGATGCAATTTATACCATTTTAATTCTCATTTTAACTCCTGTTTTTCAGTGACCATCTAATTAGATCTAAGCCATGCCATCTTTAGAGTATATCACATAAGCTGGACTTCACTCAGCAAACACTTTTTGATATTACTACTTCTTGCTAAACATCTATTTCTGTAGGTTTTTTGCTTTGAACATGGGAGCAGTGACTCAGGGCTGCCCAGTTCACTGAGAACAGAGAGGCTACAACAGTTTTGAACTAGCTGTCTGCCTAACTAGACTATTAAGTGTTCATCTGTTCTTTGCATTTCTTCTCTCAGATAATCTAAGTTATTCTTTGAATTCCAGTGTGGCCCTAAAGGTTCTTATACTGTACTGCATTGCTCTTAGCCTGTACCATTGTCTTCCCTCCACTTTTCTAATTTAGCTTTTCCTGTTAACTCTATTCTGCTCCTTGTTGTACTTACTGCCTCTTGGTGACAGAAAACTCTCTGTGAAGGTTAAGTCCTTGGTCTCTTAATACATGTTCCCTAAATCTAAATCCCAGATCTGCCACTTGTTGGACATGTGCACTTAAGTAAATTACCTAACCTCTTGAGGCCTAAGGTTCCTCATTTGTAAAAAAAACCTAGGGTAGGGCCAGGGATTTAGCTCAGTTCAGTGGTGCCACCGCCTGCCTCTCAAGCACAAGGTCCTGAGTTCGATCTCCAGTACCAAAAAAAAAAAAAAAAAATCCTAGGGTAATAAAAGTAGGACCTAACTGATAGGGTTGTGTATAAGTTGTGATTAGCACACTGTTTGCTACATTCAATTAATGGTAGCTGAGATGGTTATTATTACCTTCAAACCAGCAAAAAGAAATAATCTGGTGTGAACTTATAGCTTTATTTCCTTATAATGTTTTCATGCTAATGAAATATGTAAGCCTTTGAATTTGTAGACCTCTCCTCTACTAGTTGAAGTTACTTTTAATTAAATGTTTTTGTACATAGTACTTTGATAAGTTTATGCCTACTTTTTCATGGGTCTGTTTTTCACTTTTAAAGTTACTACTAAAACAGAACAATAAGGCTGAGGCAGGAGGAATCACAGATTCAAGCCCACAAGTTGCTGGGAACTTAGCAACTTAGCAAGACCCCTGTCTTAAAATTAAAAACACAAACAACAACAACAACAAAAATACTACAGAACCAGGTTGGAAATAGCTGGGGATATAGCTTAGTATGAAGATCTTGAGTTCAGTCCCTAGTACTCCAAAAAAAAAGAAAAAAATAGTAATATAGTTTTTATATTTTCTACCTCTTTTAGGGCTGAGGATTTAGCCCAGTGGTTCCAGCGCCTACCCCACAAGCACAAGGACCCGAGTCTGATCCCCAGTACCCCTCCCAAAAGAATATTCTACCTCTTTTAAATAATACAAATGACAGACTTTTACATTTTATTAAATGAGTACAAATTTTACATAAAAATGTGTACAAATACATCATTTACATTTTTGAATGATAAAGTCACTAATTTATAATATTTGTATTATGATCAAACACATGCACTGGCATATTAGGAAAATAGAAGAATATCGGAAAAGTGCACAATGAATGATAAATAACCTTACACTGTTTTTGGACAATGAAAGTTACAATTAAGATGTAAGTTATTGGTGATAAGTTTTCAGGAATCCCACACATTTTAGGGTAACCACTTTATGCCAACATGGTAAATTTGAGATAAATGTTAACTGGATACTTGGAAGATGAGTATTTCAAAGTTCAGAAATGTGATCTTATGTGTGTCTTTTGAAAGAAAATGTGAAAGTTGATGGTAAATTAAGATCTATAATGGCTTACAAAAAGTACTTTCTTAAAATAATAATGCACTAATAGCTAATACTTTGCATTGATTAACTCAGTTAATTCTTTCGATAACCCAATGAGATAGGTACTTCCAATATCCCCATTTTCAGATGAACAATTTGGAACACAATGAATACGTCACCTCCCCAAGATTACCCAGCAAGTAAGGGGGAGCAGCTAGATACCTAGGCAGCTGACTCTACAAGTCATGATCTTAACGATACCCCAAGATGACTCTAGATATTTAAATAAAGTAATATAATTATCATCACAGGTTAACATTTCTAAGTTGATAAACACTATTGAAAACTTGTACATGATATGTAACATGCATATATTTTATCACTATATTTATTCGATTTTATATTAAGAATATTGAATAGCCTCGTAGGGTGGCTTTTTATCATCCTTTTTCTAGGGGTGTTCTTTTTTTCCATTAAGTTTATTGGTACATTTTAGGTATACAATACAGTTACATTCATCACTGGGATCTTGTATGTTTACATGATGTATCTTGGTTCTTATTTTTTCCCCATTCCCCTGTCCTCCCTTCAGCCCCTCCTCCCTTCCCTGTTTACAAAGACTTTGTTTCCATTATTTTCCTTTTCCCTTCTTTTCTTTCCCCTGCCCCTCCCACTCCCCCTACTCCTTTAGACCTTTTCTTCCTATTTCACAATATCAATTATACATTTTGATTATTATTTACACTTTTAGTTTTTCACACCAGAGAAACTATTTGGTATTTACACATGTGTATCCTATTTATTTCACTGAAGAGTATGGCCTCAATGTGAATC